AGAAATAATGGAAGGGTCCTTAGAGAAAGAAATGAGAATTGGCCATCTCTGCTGCCCTTACATTTTATTTGGAGAATTGAGTGATACCCAAAACTCCCAAGCATTGGACCACATAGGCTATGCTTGCAGGAGGGGTTTTAGTTATTGCTGAGTTTCTACAAAGTGTCAGGTAGACATAAAGATAATAAAACAGCTGCTTCCGAGACAAATCTCAAGAGTTCTGTACTCACACCAAAGTACCACCTGGAGTCCCAACTTGGTCCCTTTAACCATAAAATAACTCCTCTGAGACTCAGTTTTCTCATCTGTCAAATGGGAGGTGATGATACCACCTACTAAAGTGAAACCCTTGGTCTGGAACTTGGGTTATAAGATGAAGCCAATATACAAGATTATTATTGTTATTCTGGTACGGGGGTGAAGGGCAGCTACACTCAGCCACAGGCCAGAGGAAGTTCCTGCTGGAATATGAGTGGGGTGATGAATTCCCTTTCAGGTAGAAGTCACCAACTTGTAAGACAAAGGAGTACTAATGTTTGGTCCAGATTATATGACCTCAGTTGAGCCGCCCCCTAAAACCCCTAATTCCCAAGAGATTACAGGCTTGTACCAGCATGCTGGGATTATTTTTATTTATATGTCTGTGTATGTATCTGTGCTTCTGCTGTGTGCATCCATCCCAGTTCCTCATCTCTGTTTCCTAATCCACTAAGAAGCTACTCTCTGTAGCATTGTTCACAACAGGCAAGTTATGGAGTCATGGAAGGTGACGAATGAATGAATGGACAGATTTATAGATATGGCCACAGACACGGTGAAATACCATTCAGCCATTAAAAGAAATGAGATTGTGTCATTTGTGGCAACATAGAGATCTTAATGTTAAGTAAAACAAATCAGACACAGAAAGATAAATACCCCTGGATCCTAAACTAGAGAGCAGAGGAGATGTCATTGGATGCCAGGAAGGGTAGAGAGGCTAGGCAAGGGAGAGATATTGGTTAACTGTTAACAATGTAACAGCAGAGAAATACAGCAGGTAACAAGGTAACTGCAGGAGAATACAGCAGGTAACAATGTAACAGCAGAGAGATACAAAAGGTAACAATGTAACAGCAGAGAATTACAAAAGGTAACAATGTAACAGCAGAGAATTACAAAAGGTAACGATGTACCTGCAGAGGAATATACTTCTGACTGTTACTGAAGGCTATTTATGATCAGCCATCTTATATTATATAAAATAGTTACAAAAGGATTCTTAAAAAAAAAAGTTTGACAGGGTCTCATTAGGTAACCCTAGCTAGCCTGGGACTCCCTCTATAGAGCAGGCTGGCCTCCAGCTCAGAGATCACCTGCCTCTGCACCCCTAGGTGCTGGCACTAAAGGTGTGTTTCATCACACTTGGCCAGAGAATACTTCTAATGTCTTGTCACAAAGAAATAATAGATGTTTGAAATGATGAACAATCTAAGTGCCCTGAGTTGTTCAATATAGAGTCTATACATATCCCAGAACACCACAGTGTGCCCATGAAGATGTACCGTTACATTAGTTTAAAAGGAAGAGAGATGACTCTTGCCCGGACATGCAACTCCAAGGCCAGGTTCAAAATAGTCCAGTGAATTTAGGAGACACACACACAGTCCATATCCTCAATCCCTTCAAGCCTCCATGCCTGCATTCCTTAATATTGCCCTAGACTATTTGGTATACCCCAAGACCTTATGCCTCAGAGAATGAAAGAAGCCCACCCACCCCACCTCAATTCTACAGTGTCACAAAAAATATATTATCATCATTTAAGTCACACTTGGGGTCAGCACCTGCCACCAAGCTAGTAGACAAGAGTGGTAGTCCAGAACCCACATATGGAAAGAGAGAACCAATTCCTGAAAGCTGTCCTCACCTCCACACTTAGGCCACGGCACATTCCTACACACACACACACACACACACACACTTTTTTAAAGTGTAACTAAGTTGCATTCACTTAGCCCACCCTCTACTTAGCTCTCAGCTGGTTCCACTGTTCTCACACAGGATGCACAGGTCCCACCACAAGGAGCTAGGCCTGTTGGTCAGATTTACAAAAAACAAAAACAAAAAACAAAAAACAAAAAACAAAACAAAACAAAACCTCCGCCCATGTCCCTCTGGTCCTCAGGCCTTTAGAAGTCATGTGACTCTGGTATCTACTTCAGGGTGGGATGAGGCTCAGAGAGGGACAGTGTCCATGGTCCCAATGGCTTTGTGGTGGTGCCATATTGAAATTCAGCTCTGCAAATGCCTGGCTCCCAGTGACTTATATTGGAGTCCTCACCCTCTTGTCTGACCAGTGGTGTTGCAAGTTAAGACTATATACCTTCGCCCCACCCAACAAGGCTACTTTGGGCTGTGATGTACATGAAGGGTCCTGAGTCAAACACCAGTATTCCAGTTACCCCTATCCAAAAGATCTGAAGATTAACCACAGATTCTTAATCAATCTGGAGAGGAAAGCTAAACCGATTTCACCCCCAAGCCCCTGACACTCTGGATTTACAGACCTCATTCGCCTGGAGGGAGCCGAGCTCTATTAGCAAGATGAAATCTAAAATTAGAATCAAACTGTGGAATTTCAATTGCAGGCCCCGGAATACAGCCTGCCACTCCACAGACCAGGAATAGCATGGTGTGATGATGCCAGACAAAGGAAGAAAGGACATTTTGCAAACCACAGCCAGGGCCACAGTTGACTCAGGGCAAGAATATGAAGGGTGGGGCCAGCATTCAACCAAGGGTCTGTGTGATGATCAAAGCTACAGGCAGTAGACATGCAAGGACCTGGCTGGGGTACAGCAGGGACTCTGCCAAGGGATGTGACCTCTGTGGAACTGTCCTTTGTCTTTTAGAGCCTCAATTTCCAAAAAACAAACAACAATGATCCCCAGGCTCTATGGAGCCTGGCACATTCCACGGGGAGGATGGAGCAGTAAGGGGTTGGGTGAACCTCCTCTTTGTAGTTTTTAAAATTACATTTGTTTATCTATTTGTTGCTGTGATGGGGCATGTGGAGGCCAGAGGACAACTTCCAGGAGTCAGTTTTCTCTTTTCACCGAGTGGGCCCCAGGGATCAATCTCTGGTTATCAGGCTTGACAGCAGGCACCTTTACTGATGAGATCTCCCAGCCTGGGGTGAAACTCTTAGGAAAGAGAGACTGAAAACCAAAACCAAAACCAAAACAAAACTGGAACTGGGAAGATGGCTCAGTCAGTAAAGTGCTTGCTGTACAAACATGATGAGGTCTTGAGTTTGATCCCCAGAATCTGCAGAAGAGCCAGGCACAGCTACACATGGCTTCATGTAACCCCACTGCTGGGGGCAGGGGGAGCAGAGACATGTGGGATTCTGGAGTTCACTGGACAGCCATATTTGTTGAGCTCTAGGGTCACTGAGAGATCCGGTCTCAAAATAACACAAGGTAGAACCAGGTGTAGTGGTGCATGTCTTTAATCACAGGGGCAGAGGCAGGCTGATCCCTGAGAGCTCAAGGCCAGCCTGGTCTACATAGTTCTAGGACAACCAGGGCTCCATAGTGTCTCAAAAGAAAAAGTGGAGAATGACCAAGGAAAACACCTCAAATCCACCTCTTACATGCACCAGGTACACACCATGCATGCATACATATGGCACGAAGACACTTCACAAATTCAGAATCCACATGGGACCTCAGAAAGAGTCCTGGTAAGGGACAGGCCCTTCAGAATCTGTCTCCAGCATCCCTGTCACCAGTGAGTAGTTTAGGTTATACTGTTGGCACACAGTAAGGCCTCAGTCAGTGCTGCTTTCTAAGGATGAGATGATGGTAGGGAAATGGGCCAGGTTTGAGAAAAATGCTATAATTTGTAGAAGGAGGAAAGTTTGGCTGGTTCATCTGCACTGAGCAGAGATAATGACAGAGAACGAATCCCAAGTTCCTGAGACCTTCCTTGGCCCCAGAGCTCTAATCTGAAAACCGCATGTAACCCTAAGCAAATCACACCCCATCCCTGAGCAGAGGCCTGCCTAGGAAAAAGCTCCTGGGAATCATGCAGAATTTGCCTTTTCTTGAGTCCAAGGAAGCTCTGTCCTATCATGGAGCCTCCAGAAAGCAAAGAAGCCTCTTCAGTGATTCTCAACCAGTGGGTTGCAACTCCACAGGGGTTGTATATCAGGTATTTACATTACGATTCATGACAGTGGTAAAATTGTAACTGCTATGAAGTAGCAACAAAATACTTTTATGGCTGGGGGTCATCACCACATGAGGAACTGTATTAAGGGTCTCAGCATTAGGAAGGTTGAGAACTACTGCTCTAGGTGCAATGCTGGCTGCCCTTCCCATCTTGAAAACAGCAGGCTGGTGGACCCTGAGAAGCCTGCTCTCTAAGATGGGACAAGTAGGAGTTTTCTCAGAGGCAGAAATGGGCACCCCTCAGGAGAGTGTGCAATAAGTAGTTCAGCTCCAGTCACTAAAATCAGCAGGCTGGGCTAGAGGTGTGGCTCAGATGTGGACTGCTCGCCTAGTATGCAGGAAGCCCTGGGTCCTGGGCCCAGCACTGTTTAAGACAGGTGTGATGGTGCACAAGTCTGTAATCCCAGCACTCAGGGTAGAAACAAAGGGAGCAAAAGTTCAAGGTGACCCTTGGCTACCTAGTGAGTTGGAGGCCGCTCTGGGCTACATGAGACCCTGTCTCAAAAGAAAAAAAAAATTCAGCTGCATTCTAGTTCTTGTCGCCTTTCCTGGGATTGGACAATACCAATACAGCTCCCTCCCCAAATCCCTCCTTTCTCTTCTCCTCCCCTGGGTTTCTTCAGGCAAGAGGAGGCGGGTTTACATGCAGGTGGGCGTGGTCTCATTCCAGCCCAGCCAGAGCAAGCTCTGAGAGGCCAGTTCCACTGAGCCCAACTTGCACCTGCACCCACACCTCCCCAGTTGCTTCTTCCCTACCCTGAGCTTACCCTTTCTGAAGCCATCATGCCTGTGACCAAGAGTGCTGATAGTCCCCAGGTAGCCACCACTGTCAAGTTGGACCTTGTGTCATCTCCTGAGAGTACCAAGAAGGTGCAGAGCCAGGATCCCAGTGTCGTGAATGGGAACTCTTCAGAGTCATCGAAGACTACCAAGGGCATAACGTGAGTGCGGCTCCCTGCCACCCCATGTCTGATTCCGTCAGCTTCCAGCCTAGACCTCCAGGTGGGTGTGTCTGACCCTCAACCCACTGTGCCACCGCTAAAGAGGAAAAAGTGGCAGCCAAAGGCTGTGTGAAATAGGAAATTCTAGCTGAGGCCAAGGTTAGAATCTGAAAAGTCCTGAGAGGGAAACTGAGGTCCAACAGCTTTAAGCCACATGTTAAGGTTTACAGGCAGAGAAGAGGCTAGAATATAGTGCTGTTGCTAAAGTCAGTTGGGGCTTTTGGTGTCTAGGAAGGGAGGCAGAACTTGGAAGGAAGTTGGGACCAGAGCTTAAGACCACAATGGCCTCACACCTCACAAACCAACAAGCAAGCCTCTCCCTGTAGCAAACCTGGCCCCTGCTGCTGCTAAGGTTGCAGTGGTGCTACTCAAAGAACAGCCTGTAAAAGATTCTAGTTTCTTCCATTTCCTGGAAGATGGGTTCTGGAGAAGGGGACATTCACAAAGTTTTTCAGAACATGACAAGCTGCAGGGCTCCAGCATGCTCTCTCTCCTTTAACTTCACCAGTCCAGCAGTCCAGCTAGCTCAGGCTCACACCTTAAGAAGCAAGTGTGACACCATCAGTGTTTTATGGCACTTAACAGAGGACCAGAAGGACTGGCTTCAGGTGGAATCCTGTCCTCCTCTCCCCCGAATCGACTTTCCTCATATGTAAAGCAGGGAGGAGCAGGTATGACCCAGTGCATTGAAAGGAGTGTGTGTGTGTGTGTGTGTGTGTGTGTGTGTGCATGCATGCGTGCGTGCATACTGGGGGTGAATATGGAGGAGGAGAAGGTGTGGCAGAGAGGGAGAGGGTGCTGAAGGGATGGACTCAATCTCTCTCCACAAGACACTGCAGGAATGGACTCAGTGGCTGCTGGCAGTGTGACATGGCTCCTTTGTCCCTGGAACTGGTCCTAGGCCTTCTAAGTGCTAGAGATTACTAGAGTGAGCTGTAAAGACCCCTGGGTTACCCACAAGAGAACAGGGGCATTTCTCAACTTTGAGAGAACCAAGTGACTCTTGTCCTGTGTCCAGGATGGTTGAGGTGACAATTTCAGCTGCTTAAAAATCAAAAGAATACAGCAAGCACGAGCTAGAGAGGACCTAGTGGGGCTTGGAGACAAGTCATATAGACTGAGTAGCATGCAGCTGATGGAGTCTGGCCTTCTGGGTTTGGTTCCCACTTACCAGCTGGAGAAAATGGAGTCTAGAAATGACAGATTACTCCTCCCAGGATGACCACACCTTCTATGTAAGCATGAAGCCCCCAAGCATAGTACCTGTATGTTCTAAGCTGCTTTAAAATATCCGTGATGGTGGTCCCAGGTCACCAAAGGAGTCAAAAATGGAACCCAAGCCTTCTGGCTCCTGATCCAAAATTTTGTGTGGCTTAACACACTGCAAACTGGCTGAAATACTGCAAGCTAAATTCTGATTTCCTAAGTTCTTTAGTTAGAAATTTCCTAAGTGACCCGTTGACCCCTTCCCAGTTGCAAAACAAGCCCATCACTGGGGGCCAGGGGGTGTAGTTCTCTGTCAGCAATGTTGACACCCACAGGGAAAGGGAAAGGCATGCAGGGCTCTCCACCCCCTTTCTCCTCCAATTGTTCTTTAACTACTACCAATCTGATGCTAGAGGACTTGGGGGTTAAAGTAGAGACTGGGAGTTGGGTGAACTCTTTCAAAATAGCATTATTCTTCACATTTGCAGAGGCTCTCCAGAGCCAGACATGTGCCCCTACAAAATGACAGAGCTGGGTAAGTAGCAGCCTTGGGTTGTAATCCTGGTTTATTTGATTCCAGAATCCTGGCTCCTTCCAGGCTCCTGTCACCGATTTGAGATGATCTGCTGGCTGTGAGGGTTTTTGGGGAATTTCTAAGGATTCTAAAGGGTTAGATAGATGCCTAGGGCGCTGTTTCACAAGGTCAGGATACAGACATCTGAAATAAAGATAGGCTTGAAATTCACTGGGAAAGAAACTCCCAACTTGGAATTTTTCTCCCTTGATGACCTTGTCCTCTGGATCAACTGCACATCTCTCCTAAATAGTCAATTGAGGCTGTGGACATAGCTCAGCTGTGGAGAGGGCACAAGGCCCTGGGTTTGATCTCCAGCACTGCATGAAGTGGGCATGGTGGCACACACCTGTAGTCCCAGCACTGGAGAGGTGGAGGTGGGAGAATCAGAAGTTCAAGGTCACCCTTGGCTACATAATGAGTTTGAGGCCAGTCTGTGCTACATGAGGCCCTGTCTCAAAAAGAGAGAGAAAGAGAGGAGGGGGAAGATGGAGAAGGAGAAAGAGAGAGGAAAGGAAGGCAAGAAAGAAAAAATCATGAGTGGGTGCTGAGGGCATTGTTCAGTAGTACAGCCCTCGCCCAGCATGCACAAGGCCCTGGGTGTAACCCCGAACACCGTAAGTAAATAATAACCGAAAGTGTGCAAGTCCTTTGCTTTAGGTGTTTGTTTTGTTTGTTGTTGGTTTTTTTGTTTTTTTTGTTTTTTTTTTTTTGTTGTTTTTGTTTTTGTTTTTGTTTTTTTGGTTTAGAGGTCATGCCATTCTCCAGACTAAATGTCCTGGGCTAAGATGAAAAGAAAACCTCTCTGGAGACCAATCCCCAGATGAGCCAGGTCACCTGACCTATGACTAAGAAGTCATAGGAACTTTTGTCCTGTCTGCCTTTCCCCCCTATTCTTGGAGTGCAATCCTGACTCTGCCACAACTCAGGAGGTCAGGTTGGTCTCTGGGCCTCAGTTTCCTCCATAATGACTTAGGGCTGTCCCTTTCTGCCCTTGTCCTGGGTCTGCCTCCTAGAGTTCAGCAGAAGCAAAAAACTGAGCAGTGAAACAGATTGGCTTCCAGCCCTGACTCCCAGTGTATCCATGGTCAAATCATTTAGGTACTTTTGTGACTCCATTACCCACCCATAAACTAAAACTCACAACAGTGCCTACTTTATTGTCTTGCCAAGAAGACTAAATGAGATGTTATGTATATTTAGTACAGTGACTCACATATTTCATGCTTCGTGGCATAGACTTAGCACGGATTGCTAATGCTGGGACAATTCTGGACAACTTGGGTTGGGTGGTCACCTTCCAGGAGACCCACATGTGCCAAGAAAGGATACAGGAGCATCAAGGTGGCCATACAAGAGTAGTTTCAGGACAGCCTTCAAAGCCACAGAAAAACCCTGTCTCAAAAAAACAAAACAAAACAAAACAAAACAAAACAAAACTACTCAATCAGAAAGTGTAAACATTCTCTAGCTGGGCATTGGTGGCACATGCCTTTAATCCCAGCACTCAGGAGGCAGAGGCAGGTGGATCTCTGTGAGTTTGAGACCAGCCTGGTCTCCAGAGCGAGTGCCAGGATAGGCTCCAAAGTTACACAGAGAAACCCTGTCTCGAAAAACCAAAAAAAAAAAAAAAAAAAAAAAAAAAGGTGGCCACAAACTTACTTGTCCAGTTTAATTGAGGTGTTGACATGCAATGAGGGAATGGCCGCTAGATTCATCACTCCTCCTTCTCCTGCAGAGGGTTCCAGACATTGGTTCATCTGGTCAAAGGCAACATGGGCACAGGGATCCTGGGTCTCCCCCTGGCTGTGAAGAACGCAGGTATCTTGGTAAGAGGAATGGCAAAGTGGGGCCATTATGAAGAGCTGTGGGGTGGGGGAGGAGATAGTAATGAGTTAAAACACCCTGTAGCAGACAGTATCTCTGGGGGTAGAATCCAACCATCGAGCCTGAGTCTGAGTTCTGCCTTGGCTATGGACACGAGGAGTTTATTCAGCACTTTTGATCTGCTCTCAGGCCTCAACTTCCTCTTTTGTAGAAGTTAAGGGCTGGAGTTGGACCGGTTATCCAATTTGACTTTACAGAGCCTATGTGTCCTTGGAGACAACTCAGAGGCCACCAAAGGGACATGTGGTCACAACTTTAGGTCTCCTACTCCCATCACAAACTTCATCATAATTGCTATGTGTACTTTTGGGACATTACTTGAGATTGCTTTTGGAAAGACAAGCAAAATGGCTTTCAACTCAGTTTTCTAGAAAGCTCTTTCAGAGCTAGCAAATGGCTCAGTAGATAAAGGCACTAGCTGCCAAGTCCAATGACCCAAGTTTGGTCCCTGGGACCCACATGAGAGAAGAGGAGAGAAAGGACCTCCTCTGACCTTTGTCCCCTAACCTCCATATATGTACTGTGGCATGCTGGAGTCACCATCCCCAAACAATAAGTGGAGGGGGGTGGGGGTCCTTGAATCCTTAGCAGTATTTGCCCTACTAAGTCGTCTTCTCTCCCACCTGTTCATGTCTGCCCTGCCTGCAGATGGGCCCGCTCAGTTTGCTGGTGATGGGCCTCATTGCCTGCCACTGTATGCACATCCTGGTCAGGTGTGCCCAGCGCTTCTGTCACAGGTGAGGAGTGTCCCATGTCTGGGGTCTTGGGGACATCCCTCAAACCTCTTACATTAGAAGAGTTTCCCTCTCCATAGTCCCCATGATTGCCAAGAAAAAGAGCTCCGGGAATGGGGAGATCTCGAGAGAGGTCTGGACACATGATTGCTTAGGTGACCTCAATCTGTCTTGACTGGCCAGCCCATCCAGAGCCCTGGATAACCCTTGCCTGTCCCTGCCTCTAAGAGTTAAACCCACTTCAGTGAGAGCCATGGGTCTAGGCACCACTACACCCACGCCAGACCAGAAGTGTGTTGTTACTCATGCTCTGTGGCAACTCCTCAATTTACAGGTGAGAACAAAGCACAATGGAATTACAACCAGACATCACAGCCGCCATTGGAACCTGCTGTGTTGACTCTGTGTTCTTTCCACACTGCATCTGTGTGGTCTTGGTCTGGATCTCTTGACTTTTTTTTTTTTTAACCTGTGAGTTGTGGGGCATAGAGGACTCCCTGAGTAAATGTGTAAGGAGTGGAGGAAGCCCTGAGTGGATTCGTAGTTTTGACATGATCCTTGTCAAGATCCCAATGCCCCCAAAGCCTTCCCAAGGTGAGGCTCAAAGAGATAGCAAAGCCATCCTCTGCTCCTAGAGTGACTGTTGACAGTATATGACGAAACTACCAGCCACAGCTTCCTCTTCGGGGATGACAGCAGCCTGTGGCTGCTCCCTGACAGAGACCTCCTACCCAGATCATGTAAACCTGCCTCCTTGTTGAGCTGTGCACACTAAGCCTGGCTCCTCAGTCAGTTGTATACAATAAATGCACTGGGGTTCTGGGCTGCTGCGACTGGTGCCTCACATCAGAGTGAGCACAGTGCCACTGGATCCCAGCTTTTCTGTTCGTGGGTCTGTCCTTTGCCTTTCTTCCTTCCCTTGTCATTGGATCAGTGCAGAGCATTGTAGGGAGTGTGTGCATGTGTGCATGCATGTGTACAGGTGACATAGCACACTGTGGAGGTCACTGACAGTCTCGGCTGTCAGTCCTGGCCTTACAACTTGTTTGGAAAAAGGTCTCTTGTTCACTGCTGCATTCACCAGGCTGCACGGCCAACACAGTGCCAGGGATTCTCCTGTTTCTACCTTTCATTCTGCAGAAATCACAGACCTGTGCTTCTGGACCTGCTTTTAGGTGGGTTCTGGGATTTGAACTCAGGTCCTCAGGTTTACACAGCATCTCCCCAGTTTGGCCTCTCATCTCTTTAAAATCATAATCCTGGATTCATCTGTTTCTTACAATGCCGTATGTGCTTTGTCCTACAGACTCAACAAGCCCTTCATGGACTATGGGGACACAGTGATGCACGGATTGGAAGCCAGTCCCAACGTCTGGCTGCAAAACCACGCCCACTGGGGGAGGTACCTTGTTCTCTTTTTGTTTACAGTGGGTTAGGATATGAAGGAGAAAGCAATACTGTTAGAAAATGTCTTCTTTCCTGACCAGGTGGCTCCGAGGTCAGACTCTCCACAGGCAGGAGGGTCACTGCCAACATCACCTAGCCAGTTCTCCTCTAACTCTCGTGATAGGTGTTCATTTCACCATACATTTTTAGGAAACCACACTTATCACTGCCAACAGCACAGGGAAGAAGGTTTTGCTCTGGCATTACCCATGGTTCATTGGGAAGGACAGACAGCCTAGGGCTTGATTATGCAACACCCATGGGATACACATGAAAGAGGTTCTGGTTACTACCAAAGGGGTAGAGGGTTATGGGGGGCCAAGGGAAGGGATGTGTATCAGGGTCAGGGTGGCTTCACTGCAACAGCTGGGATAGACTGTACAGGAAGCAGCCTTGAAGGGGAGAAGGCAGGAGGGCCTGAAGTTCTTTCTTTCGGGAAGGGGGCAGAGCTGGGGTGCAAGCCACATGGGGATTTGACAGGTTCATGCTACAGAAAGATCAGGTGGCATGAAGGCATAGTCAGGGTGGGGAAATTGAGGAAGGTGCCTGGTCATATTGTCTATTTTATTTTTGTTTCATATGTACTTATTTGTTTGTGGGAGGGATTCATGCAGAGGTCAGAGGACAACCCATGGGAGTCAGTTCTCACCTCCTCCCACGTGGGTCTCTAGGATTGAACCCGGGTCATTGGATTTGACAGCGAGCATCATTATTTACTGAGCCCATAGTGTATATTTTAGACCCTCCCTAATAGTTTGTTATTTTCTTTTCAAAGGGTATTTATTTGTATTACCTTTAATTATATGGGGGGTGTGTATGTGACTACAAATGCCCTCAAAGGCTGGAAACATCAAATGCCCTGGAGCTAAAGTTATATAGCTGGTTGTGATTTAGGGCCTGGGAACTGAACTCTGGTCCTCCGAAAATGCAGTATATGTTCTTAACCACTGAGCCATCTTGACAGCCCCTTTCTTAAGAGAGCAGAAAGCCAAGAGAGCTTTTAATTTTAAAGCACGTGTTCATTCTTGAAAGGTTCGTCTAGCTTCTGTAAGACTATAAGGCAGCAAAGGACTGACTTTGACAGACCCCTGGGGAGGTTTTAGTGTAGACAATGTCCATTCTGATGGCAGCAAGAGGAATGAAGGAAAGTTGTGTCAGTAAGAGATTAGCTGAAAGGAAAGGAAAGAGTTGGGGCTGGGGATATGGCTCATTAGTCAATGCATTTGTTGTCCTAGCATGAAGACCAGGATTCAGATTTTCAGAACCCACAAAAATGACAGGTGGCTGGGGGGGCACTTATAACTCTGGACTCAGAAAGTGGAGACAGGGGATTCCCATGAGCAAGCTGGCTAGCAAGACTAGTGATATCAGGGAGCTCTGGGTTTGATTGAGAGACCCTACCTCAATGAATAAGGTGGGAGAGCAATGGAGAACGATTCCGCCTTCACATACATGCACACACGTGTACACTACATGTAAAACATGCATGTATGCACACATGCACACAAATGAATAAAAACAAGAAAGAAGAGTCAGATTGACTCAGACTTCTACCCACTTGTATTTTGGACAGCGTGGGTCTTTGGTGACATCTGAGAGGAGAGTTCACTGGGTATTGACTTACAGAACTAAAGGTATCAGTCATGAGGCCAGGGAGAGAGGAAAGAATGGAAACCAAAGAGAACAGAAAGACCAGATTTTAGGACACTTGGTTGAGCTGAACTGCCCACCCCCCC